AAAATGTGAACAGAAAAAAAAAAAAAAAAAAAAAAAAAAAAAAATCCATGAAGCAGAAGCAATGCCAGCGAACTCCACCACCCAACCAGATTCAGCTCAGACCCCACTCCCTCATCTGCTCACAGGACTGGAGATGAAAAAACAAACCCCGCCTCAGCAAAGCATTTTGGAGCTGTTTAGGGGTGGTACACACTGCTGGGTCCCCACTGCCCAGCATCCCGGTGGCAGGCAGCTGCCTCGGGGCACAAAGTAGAGATGCCCCGGGGAGCCCAGGACCTTTGCTGCACATCCCCCCGCAGCACGGCGGCCCCCGGTTGCTCCCCCAGCACCTGACCCACCACGAGGCTTTCGGCAGCCATCGGACCCAGGCTGCATCTCCGCACGCACCCGCGTACAGCGCCGGTGGGAATAAAAGGCGATGTTTAACCACCTGCACTAGGGCTGCCTCTGATGTTCTCGAAGTGAAACTTGATGCTGCTCAGCAAAGACACACCTCTTCCAGGGTGTTGTGCAAAATTCTGCATTTTAACGTAGGACAGGAAATATGAAAAGAACTGGGCAGAACTGAAACAGCACCCTCGGTTAGGCCGAGGTTTGCCAGCTCCAGCGGGGAAGCAAATCAAAGGGTTTGCTTCACTTATCCATCCACCCGTGATTTTCCAGTGCTTCGGAAGTTGCAGTTCCTTCTCTAGCAGGTTTTAAAGAATTGGCATTACTGCTTCCCTCTGGAGCAGCTCTGCATAGTGGTTTTTTTTCTCCTCCTCCCGTCTCTTTCATGCTTTATTTCCCAACTCCACAGTGGGATGGGTCGGTTGCAAAAGATTTTCATTCCCTTTTTGGGATTGGTTTTGGCCTTCTGGTTTTATTCTGCGAGGGAGACTTTCAAACCTGGTAAGTATTAAAAGTGAATCTGTCTTTAAGGAACAATATTAAAAGCCGCATTTGAGTGTTTTGCATAGAAACTGTGCAGAGCTTGGACCAAATCACGGCAGAGCCTTTGTGTGGTGGCTGGTAACCGGAAAGTTGTTTTAACAAAGATCTGAAATCAAGCAAGTAACGAGCTTCCTGGGGGAGCAGGTCAGGCAGGGGGCTGGGACGGAGAGGGCTCAGAACACTCCATTTTCCGGCGTGTAGCAAAAGAATTTATAAATGCGACTTTTAAATATTGGATTTTAAGTTTTGAAGCATGCACTTAGTAGATAGTTTTTCCTACAAAATAGTTGGGGTGTTTATAAGTTGTGTCCTGACTTGTGGAAAAAAACGCTGAAGGAGCCGAGCGCTGTCCTGGTGTCACTGCACTCGGCGAGGAGCTGCAGCCGCTTCTCAGCACGGCTTTTTCCAGCAGATGGAAGAGACGTCCTGGTGCCAGACACTCTGCACTTGCAGGCTCGCTTAGCTTCCAATTAACTACTTACTCTCAGGGGCATTAGGGGATTTTATTCTATTTTATTTTTAAATAGGGTTTGGATAAATTAAATCCCTGTGCCTTGGTCCCCAGAGATGCTGAAAGGGAAGCGGGTGATCGTCACCGGAGCAAGCACTGGAATTGGAGAGCAGATGGCGTATCACCTGGCGCGGATGGGATCCCACATTTTGATCACAGCACGGACAGAGGCCAAGCTACAGAAAGTAAATGGCAAGCTAAGCACTCACACATGCATGTTCACGGCGGTGCGCACACAAACGTACAAAGGCCAGTCTCACATCACAGGTGCACGCATGAATATATGCACATGTAATTGCTATGGCACAAATAGCAGGTAGGCACAGTTACGTTCACAGGTACGTATACTTGCACTGTCTGGGGCTCCCGCATGCACAGAAATCCCTCTCCTGCAGATACATGCACTCTGCATAGCACGTATTATGATATTTAAGCTTGCTTAGTTATGTACACAAATCCCCACACACACCCTCATTCCACTGCAGTGATATACAAGCTCCCTGCTCATCCTATACGCGTGCAATTCCAGCACAGACTGCACCAACAGAGAGCCAGGCTGCTTTGGGTAACGCATTCACCAAAGGAATAATTTTTCAGGCTCCCTTTGAAGCTTAAAAGGCTCCAAACATACTCCCGAAACTCCAAACCGCTGTTTTAAGGCAGGGACACACCACAGGGAGCACAGCCACCCTCTTTCACTATGGCAGCAGGCTTCCCAGGGCAGGGAAAGGGGTTGCTGACGCATGGTGTTGGTGCGGCAGGTGGTGGAGCGGTGCCTGGAGCTGGGAGCAGCCTCCGCGCGGTACGTCAGTGGCACCATGGAGGACATGGCCTTCGCCGAGCACGTGGTGAAGGAGGCAGAGACCTTGCTGGGTACGTTTACAGCCTGCTCTCCACAAACGACTGCGGAACATTGCATCTCTCCTTGGCCATGCTGCTTTTTGCCACATGCCCACTAAAAAAAGCAGGAGAGATGGGGCGAGACAGGAGAGGTTTTTCCCTAATTATGCCCTTTGCAGTCCTGTTCCGCCGCCCAGCTTCATCGCTCCAGCTCAAACTGAACTGCGCTCTCGATTTCAGCTCTGCGCCCTCACGACACCCTGTCCCAGTGTCATAAGCCTGCATTTCATCACCCCCAGCTACTGTGGTCTGAAACCATCCATCAGGCCCGTAGCAGCCTTGCTATTGCGGTCATGGGTCACGGCTGCAGAAGTGCAATGTTTCAGCTCTGCGTGGACTACTCCCTCTCCCACCCCAGGCCATCAGACAACTCGAGGGTGATCTCCCTCGTGCCATGGTATTTTTGTTTTGAACCACGGAAGAAAAAATCATGACAAAATTTTTACTGGCAGCCACCATCCAGACTATATCCCTACTACAGAGATGACAGGCCACAGCTCTGACCCAAAAACCTGATTTCTTTTGATTACATTTATTCTGCTCCCAGGAAAGGTTCTGCTCTGCTGGTTGTAGCCCTCTCCCACCCAGCACTAATGCCTGCTCCTCTGCTTGCAGGAGGCCTAGACATGCTGATTCTTAATCACGTCGGCACGTCGTACTTCGGTTATTTCAATGGGGACGTCGATCACGTGCGAAAGCTTCTGGAGATCAACTTCCTCAGCTACGTGGCAATGACCACATCTGCCCTGCCCATGCTGAAGGAGAGCGAGGGCAGCATCGTAGTGGTTTCATCCATGGCAGGTGAGTGGGGAGCGAGGTAGGTGACATGGGATTCAGTCAAAAGACGCCGTGGGCTGATTGTGAGCAGTAAGCAGCACGCGGAGACACCAGGCATCGTAAAGGGGCCACAGCTGCTTAACGCACTCAAAAAAACGCCACAAGACCCAAATCCAGATCTTTTTTCTATTTTCTCAATGGAATTTGTTCTCTGATGCAATCCAATCGCCCCAGCTTGCTTTGTGACCATCCCTGTAATTAAACCCCACACCCCAGAGTCAGGCTCATTCGGGCAGCAGAGCTCACGCACCTCCGGTTTTAAGGAGAAAAGTGGAAATGCAGTAATTTCTCACTGCTTTGGATCTCTGGCTGTTCCTCTTGGTTTGGTAGGTCAAGTTCCCACTAATATTTGTAGAGTGACTTATTGACTGACTCTATTCACAAAAACATGACTCTGTTCTACTAAATTTCTGTTAAGTCAGAAAACTAAATTACTAACAGATGTCCCCCCGACAGCCAAGATGTTGGTTGGTCTTCTGGCGATCAGCTTAGCTCAGGATCCAGAGAGAAGAGTTTAAACTTTGCTCCATCTCTCCCCTCTGAGGGTTTCCTAGTTACTGCAGGTTGCTCATACCCTGAGCAGAGACATGAGCCATAGCATTGGCCTTAAGACCTTAAAAGAGGTGGAAGCTGATGGGAATGTTTGTAATGCTGCTGTTCAGATGCCAGGATGACATTTCACTAACAGTAAACTCCCTTTGGGTAAAACACCCTATCTGTTGCAGAGCAAAACAGAGGCTGGGGCAGAGCAGCTTTCTGTGCTATAACAGAACTTCACTCTGTGTCCAGGTAAAGTCGGGTTTCCCCTTACGGTCCCCTACTCTGCAACTAAGTTTGCCCTGGATGGATTTTTCAGCTCCCTGAGGCAGGAATTCACCATTCAAAGCATTAATGTTTCCATCACGCTCTGCATCCTGGGCTTCATCGATACTGGTAAGATCGGTGCTGTTTGATCCGGCTGATCAGGAGCCGAGCATCACCTCCTCAGCTTCTTATCCTGCCCCTCAGCCCCCGACCCTCCCCTTTCACCTCCGCTGCTGCTTTTCCTCCAGCCCCGCTGTAGCACAAGTGCATGCAAAACACCCACGGATCTCGGGGGGATCCTACCTCTCTTCTACCAAAAAAAAAAAAAAAAAAAAAAAAAGACTCAAAACTGATTTCTTCCTGCCCGCTGCATAAAACCAGCCACCGCACACGGGCTGGCACAGCCCAACATTCAATTAGTACAAATGGATGTGCCAGCCACCTATCTCCCGTTAATCCCACCTATCGATGCGACGGTAAGGCGTGGGAATGCAAACTGATGGTTAGGGCGGCTGGAAGAGTTCTGCATGTGCTGGGCAGCGGAGAGGGATTTCGGCTCATGACTCTGCCGCCCACTGCTAACAACCGCTTCGCAAGCCCCGCTCATCC